TTATGTGTATGTGTGTATTGCCTGTATGTAGGTAAGTGCACCCGTGTCATGCAATGCCCACAGAGGTCAGAAGAGGCTGCTGGATCCCTTGGGACTGGAGTTACAGACAGCTGTTAGCTGCCATGTGGGTGCTGAGATTCAAACCGGGTCTTAACCACTGAGCCATCTCTCCAGCCCCACGGAGATCTTTTTGTTTTATTATTAAAGAGTCTTACACAAACATCTTTTTCTTTTTTTCTTTTGAGACATAGTCTCCCTATAGAAACTTGGAACACAGCTGCCCTGGAACTCACTATGTAGATCAGGCTGGCCTTGATCTCCCAGAGATCCACCTGCCTCTGCCTCCCTGGGATTAAAGGTGTGTGCTTGTTTTGCTTTTAGGGTAGGGTTCCACTGTGTAGTCCTAGGTCCTCCTGAGTACTGAGATGTGAGCCACCATGCCTAGCTGTATAAATATCTAAAGAAAGTATTTTATTATTCCCATAGGATAATTTCCTAGATGTGGAATTTTGGAGCCAAAAGGGGGTATACACTTAAAAGACTTTTTAAATTTATAATGATAAAGCTTTATTTCTTTCCTACTCATCCTAATTTTATCTATTTACATATTACTACCAGACATTTGGAACTATCTTTTTCTTCAAACCTTTTCCAACACTAGACATATTCTTTTTTTTGTTTGTTTTTTGGAGACATGGTCTTCCTGTAGCCCCTGCTGGCCTTGAACTTAGAGTTTGCCTGCTTCTGCCTCCTGAGTGCTGGGATTAACGATGTGCAGCACCATGCCTCATTTTACAAAAAACTTCTAAATATAGTTATTGCTTATCTGAATTTGTTTTGTGAACATATTAGTTCATGTTCTTTACCCCTTTTTTCTTTTTGGTACAGAGCAATCTTTCTAAAACATAAATCAGGTCATATACTCTGCTAGATAGCTTTAGTGTCAACTTGACACACCTGGGTTGAGGGAGCCTCAATTGGGGGATTGCCTCTATTCGACTGGCCTGTGGCTATGTCTAAGGGGCATCTTCTTGACGAGTGATGTGGGAGGGCCCAGCCCACTGTGGGTAGTGCCACCCTTTGGCAGGTGGGCCTGTGTTGCATAAGAAAGCAGGCTGAGCAGGGGCCAGGGGAGCAAGCCAGTAAGCAGTGTTCCTCCATGGCCTGTGCTCCAGCTCCTGCCTCCAGGTTCCTGTCCTGAGTTCCTACCTTGGGTTCCTGGATGAACTATGACCTGGGATATGTAAGCTAAATAAACCCTTTCCTCCCCAAGCTGGTGGTGGTCAGAGTGGCTTGTCACAGCAATGAAGAGACAAACTAAGACATATACCATTTTCATTCAATGTTCCCAGGATAGTCAGGTCCTTCAAAATGTGGTCCTTACCTACCTTTTTAAAAGAATTAAAAATTTATTCTTACCTACCTCTTTGAATCATTTCTATTATACAGATCAAGGATCTTACATGGATCAATTGAAAGCCCTAGCTACTTGTATTCTCTAAAAATGATTAATGCTTCTGGGTCTTCATACATGCCATCCCTGGTCCCTTGGATGCCCTTTGCTTCTTAACCTAGGGAACTATTATTCATACTTGACTGAGCTTCCTTCTCTAATCAGCTTCCCTCCATATCTTTCTCCAAGTCCCAGAAAAACCTATAGTTGTCTGTCACTTTTATGTTACACTGTGATTGTCTGTTAACTTGCTTTACATTTTCTGATAGGCAGAACTCCTTAAAGGAATCCCATATATTAGTTGTGTTTTCACTGATGATAAGTATTTGCACGATAAATTATAAAAGACTTTATGTGCTTGATGGCAAGATGTATCATATGTATATTGCATCCAACATACTCGAAGCCAAATTCATTTTCCTTTCCTGTTTTTCCTCTTTCCTCAGTAAAATTCCCATTATCTATCCAATTTACCTCTCCCACTCAAATGATTCCTGCTAATCCTTGTCCCATACTGCCCTTGGAGTTAATTACCATATAAATTCAATGTTATTTCCTTTTTTTATTTTTAAAGACATAGTCTCTGGTCTGAAGAAATGGCTCAGCAGTTAGGAGTGCTGGTTGCTCTTGTAGAGGATCTGGGTTTGAATCCCTGCGCCCATATGGCAGTTCCACAGGATTCGACATCCTCTTCTAAATTCCACAGGCGTTGCACACATGGGTGCACTTACATACATGTAAGCAATACATTCATACACATATAGTAAAAATAATAATAATAAGCTAGGCGTGGTGGCACATGCCTTTAATCCCAGCACCTGGGAAGCAGAGGCAGGCATATCTCTTGTGATTTCAAGACCAGCCTGGTCTACAAAGTGAGTTCCAGGCCAGCTGGGGCTACGGGGAGACCCTGTCTCAAAAAGACCAAAATAATAATAATAATAATAATAATAATAATAATAATAATAATAATGATGACATGGTCTCCTGTAGCCCAGGATAGTCTTGCACTCACTGTGTAGCTGATGATTACCTTTGATCCCTAACCCTCCTACCTCCATTTCTCAAGTGCTAGAATGCAAGTGTGCACCACCACAGCCAGATTTTTTTTCCCTTGTGAGATAGGGACTTGATGCATAACCCAGGATAGCCTTGAACTTGGGATCCCCCTGCCTCATCCTTCAGAGCACTGACGTTATAGGAGTGTTGCAGCATACCTGAAAACTTCCTGTTCCTGAAAATAAGGAAGCTTAGCAGAACAAAACCCAAATGTCTTAGCAAGCCATTTGAGGGCCTCTGAAATATAATCTCTGCTACTTCTAAAGTCTTAATTTCCCTTTACTCTTGAATACATTCTGTGTCTCTGAACATATTTCACCTGTAAAGATCTACCCTCCTGGTGGCATGGTACCTGCTTAGTATATTCCTATTCATCTTTCAAAGCCTAGTTCAAATGTTTCTACATGAAACTCCCTGATTGTTTAAAGCAGAGTAAAATAGTTCCTTCTTAATGATAACTTAATATTTTGTTCTTATGTTTAAGCACTTATGTCATTGTATTTGTAATGATTTGTGTCAGTGTCTCCCCTAGAAGAGCTCCTCAAGGTCAAGATACATATCCCAGGACCTAGACAATGCCGGTCCCTAGTAGAGATGTTCAGGAAATGTTCAACTGATGAAAGTAATCCGATGCTAGGCCCTTTGACATCACAGCTGAACAAAGAAGCCACAGTCCTATAGCATGTTGCTGCAGATTACCTGATGTTGCTATCCTCCAAACCACGTGAAGCCTCCCCACCATCTCCCTCATAGGACATCATGGTTTCTTCATTTTCCATGCCCATCCTTGTGCTCTCCTGAAGCACTCGGGGTTGTTTGGGTCTTAAACCACCAGATCCCACATCAGAGTCACTTCCACTTTCACTCAGCTGAATAGCTGTAAAAAAGATAGATTGTGGTTACATAAGATGAGCTTGATGGGCTAGAGGCATGACTCAGTGGTAGAGCATGTGCAAGGCCCTAGAGTCAAGTCCCAGCACCAAAATAACAAAAAGAAGAGAGAAAGAAAAAGTAATTCTTTTTTAAAAAATTTTATTATTTTTATTTTATGTGCATGAGTGTATTAGCTGCATATATGTGAGTGTACCCGTGTCGTGCAATGCTACGTACATCAGAAGAAGGCTTCAGATTCCCCTGGAACTGGAGTTAAAGATGGTTCAGAGCTGCCATGTGGGTACTGGAAATCAAACCTGGGTCCTCTGCAAGAGCAGTCAGTGCTCTTAACCACTGAGCCATCTCTCCAGCCCCCAGAAAAAGTAATTCTTGATAGAATTAACATTTTAGCCTGGTATTCCAAAACTAGTCCTATAGACTTCATGCCTATATTCCTCACCCCACAGGCTGTTCTTCTAACTACTAAGGGTCAATAGTGGCAAGATCTATAGTTTAGAAACTAAATCCAAGTAACTGCTTTCCTCTCTCCTAACTACTAAGGGTCAATAGTGGCAAGATCTATAGTTTAGAAACTAAATCCAAGTAACTGCTTTCCTCTCTCTCATCATCATATCCTTCAATATCTACATCTATCTATTGGTCTATCTCAGACCAATCTACCTGGTTTTCTATCTTTTCTAATACCGTCCCTCTACCACTGCCATTAATTTTCTTAATTTTCCTTTCCTGTTCACAAACAACTTTCATGGTTAGCAATTTTCCAAGTCAAAGCTGCTATGTGGGCATTGCCTTTTCCACTGTCACCTTTTATGTCTCCTGTGTCTGTGTGTCTTCAATTACACTAAGGCTAATGGACATCATCATCCTCTGAGTGAGTGCTTAACACTCTCAGGTCTATTAATGGGCCTTCAATAAAAGAGCTAGCTTTTGATAATAGCATAGTAGCAAAGAGCTGCCTATTCAGTCCTGAGGGTACTGTAGTGAGCTATAGAGGAGCAGAAGCAAAGGAGAAAGACTTACCAGAGAAAGGGTTATCTCCTTCTTCATCACTCCCAGCATCTTCCTCATCATCTTCTCCTTCCGACATAAGCAAATCCTCATATAGGACACTGGCTTGAGTCTGTTGTACAGTTCCTTCCTCTTCATCTGCAAGATCACCATCTCCATCTTCACCTTCCTAAAAGAGACCAGGTGGGAGCCCCATCAACTAAGTAAGTGACCAGAATACCCTCCATTCCCCCATCCCACTTGCTGCCTCACAAGAAGTTGAACAACTTTAGTGGCTAATTTGTTTAGCTCATTCCAAGGATTAAATCCTCTTCACTATGGAGAGACCCTCTGTATCACCTTGGGATTTGGCCTGCCCTGTACTGCTGAGGCTCCTATCATATAAATGTATAACGTAACCATAAGCTTTCTATAAGCATACTCACTGGGGCTGGAGTCTTAGGTTTCCCATCCTCCTCATCATCATACCCTTCAATATCTACATCAGAGTCTTCCTCGCCAAGCCTACCTCGGCCCTGGCACATCTGAGTAAGGAACACAAATAGCACATCATTGAGGGACGTGCCTGTAGGCGTTAACCAAGGGTTCTTTACCCAGGACAGATGCTCCTCCCTGATATCCCAGCCAACCCCACTGCTAGTGGGGGCTGTATCCATAGCTCAAAACGTGTATTTTTCCCCAGTCATTCTTTGGAAATCACAGTCAGGTAAGAAGACCAAAGAATAGGAATGTTCTTGGTCTACTCTAAACTACATCAGAAGGAAATGTTTCCTTTCTTTTCCTTTCTAACCCAAGCTTTAGTTTATAGCTTGTGTTTGACCTTTTAAGACAGAAAATCCTTCTGGGTTTTTGACTCTCTCATGGAACCCTGAGCATAGCTACAGCTTCAGATGAGGAGTAGCTGCTGATACTTCTCAAAAAAGCCAATTTCAAACATTTTAAATATTTATTTTTATGTGTATGAGTGTATTGCCCGGATGTATGTAAGTATACCCATGTTGTGCAATGTATGCGGAGTCAGAAGAGGGCAGTGGATGCCCTAGAACTGGAGTCACAGAGGGTTGTTAGCCACCATGTGGGTACTGGGAAGCAAACCCAGGTACTCTGCAAGAACAGCCAATGCTCTTAACCACTGAGTCATCTCTCCAGCCCCAAACATTTTATAAATAATTTTAATTTGGTTTGTAAGTTATAACTTGCACAAAGTAGTAGGCCAGTTGTTATGTTTCTTTCTAATAATCTGTTAGGCTGCCCTGCTGCTTCAAATACTTTCCCTGAAGTTCTGTTGTGCTTGATTCTGCCCATGGGGACAGAGAGAAAACAATGTCAGTCATGTGATCTTCCAACCCTACCCTAGAAACCACATTGCAAGGCCTTGATTCCAGGAGCAAGTCATCTAGCCATTCTGGATGTGTATCCGTCCATTCTTCCATGCTTGCCCTCCAGGCACACAACCAATCTCACAAAGAAAAAGAACATCCTACCTGTGTTACCTGCTTTTCTGAAGCAGCGTTGGCAATATCCAAGACAGACATATTGCTCTCATCTTGAAAGACAGAGGCATCTCGGGAAATACTGAGGGATGTGCCGTTATCATACAAATCAGGAGGCTGTGGCATAAAGTATTTAATTTAGCTTCTGTTAAGGGATAAGCTACAAATACAAAGAATTCCCCTTTATAGCCTTCACTGAAGAAAAAGGTCATGCAAAACAATCCAGTTAAAGAGAACACATAGCTTTAGCTTTATGGACAAATTATTTGGAATACTACAAATAACATCCATTCTAACAGGCCTCTAGTGTATATGTTCAGGAACTAAAGCAGAAATGCATAAATGCTAAGGGACGAATTTGTTTTAAATACCTCTCTGGTCAGTAACCTACTTTCTTCTTCTAAGCCCTGCCTTCTTGTTTTTAAGCCCAGAGATTTATATCAGTGCTATTTTTTTATAGATTTAGAGACAAGTCAGAGGAAAGTGAATAAAGGAATTTAAATTTCAGCAAGAGCATGAAAGTCTTCACAGTTCATGAGCTTCTCAGAGGATGCTACAAAGCAAAATGATGTGGTGAAAAACCATGGGCTTTGAAGTAAATTGCCTGGGTTTGAGTCTTGGCTATACCTTTTTAACAACCCTTGGTTTCTTCAACTGTAAAACACAGATGATAATATCTACCTCACAGGGTTGTTGTGAGAATTAAGTACTATGTGTATCTAATACTTAGCACTCAATAAATTATAGATTCTTCCTTCTTATCTCCCCTGAAAAGAACAGCAATTGCTATGTATGGTGGCACATACTTTTAGTCCCAGCACTCTGGAGGCAAAGGCAGGCAGATTTCTGTCAATTTGAGCCCAGCCCGATCTACATAGCAAGTTCCAGGTCAGCCATGCCTACACAGTGGAACCCTCTCTCATAAACAAACAAACAAACAAACAAACACACCCATGGATTTAGCAAATTGATTATATTCAATGATAAGAAATTAGATAAAATATTCATAAAGTGAATAGAATAAGACAAAATAATAGTCATCAATTTATTTTAGAAGTATATCTACAAACACACATTACAGATATAAAAAAAACTCAATATTTGGTGGCTGATGTACTCTTTCTGAAAAACAGAATTGATAAGAGGTAACAACTCTTTAAAAAAAAGATTTATCTATTAATTTTTATCTTTAAATTTTTTTGGTGTTTTTGAGATAGGGTCTCTCTGTAGCCCCAGCTGGCCTGGAACTCACTATGTAGACCAGGTTAGCCTTGAACTGACAGAGATCTGCCTGCCTCTTCCTCCCAAGTGCTGGGATTAAAGGCATGCACCACCACGCCCAGCTCTATTAATTTTTAATTATGTATATATGTGGGTGCTTGCATGTAAGTTTGTGCATGTGTGATTGCAGGTACCCTCAGTGTCCAGAAGAGGGCAATTAGATCCTCTGGAGCTAGAGTTAAAGGCAGTTGTGAGCCTCCCAACATGAGTACTAGGAACTGAACTCAGGTCCTCTGCAAGAATTAAGAGTGGTCTTTAACCACTGAGCCATCTCTCCAGTTCCAAGAAGTAACTTATTTGTACCTTCCAATTTTCTTTTTTTAAAAAAGATGTTTTTTAAGATGTTATTATGTGTGTATGTGGGGTGTGTGTTTGTGCATGTGAGTGCAGTGCCTGGAGGCCAGAAGAGGGTGTGGTATCTCCTGGAGCTCAAGTTATAGGCAGCTGTGAGCCACCAGATGTGGGTGCTAGGAACTGAACTCTAGAAGAGCAGCAAGCACCATTAACCACTGAGCCATCTCTCCAGTTCCATCTTTCAATTTTCCCCAATGATCAGATTACTTTTATCAATAGAAAACCTGCATATGAGCAAGGCATGGTGTCACATGCCTATAGTCCCAGCATTAGGGAAGCTCAAGCAGGAGGATCACAAACTCAAGACCAGCCAGGACTACACAGATAGACTCTGTCTCAAACAAACACACAAATATCCACACATGTTGCTTTGTGTTTTTAAAAGCAAACAAGGAAACAAGATTGACTGAGAAGAGAGTTTCTGAAAAAGAGAAATGAAACAAAACAGAATTCAAATCATTATAGCATAGATAAACCAATATGAAACAGAAGAAAGGAAAATAAGGACCTTTTGGCAAAATTTTAAAGCAAAGTATGAAAATAAAGGCTTGAGAAACTGAAAAATGAATAGTTTCAAGGTACTGGGCTCCATACAAGCTCAGGAGAAATATTCAAATGGAACTACAGTACTGACTACCACCATTTATAAGCTAAAAATAACAAGATTACTGCCATGCTTCTGTACAACCAAAACTATTATGAAAGGTTAAATTTACAGATACTAATAACATGTGGGGTTTATGTAGTGATGAAGGATAGTCACTCCATGTGGATCTTCCTTAAGTTAACAGGCAATGACATACATGGGCTATCTTAAAATGTGTATGTATAAATGAAGGGAATGATAACAGAATGTCCTGAAAAAAATGAAGCAGTACTAGCCATACCCTACTCTTCATAGGAAACTCACTAACGGTACCAAAACCCAGCTATTACTCAGGAAGAATACCTGAAAGGTTTTCCTCAGACATATAAGGTAGTGTGGGAAGGGCAGGGAAGAAAGGAAGATGACTCTTGGGCTTAGGGTTTTGACTCACCAATGCTTATGACTGTCCGAGACCTAAGAAAACCACATGCCACTCAGTGGCTAGATTCTTCGGAAGAATGATGACTAATACCCAAGCTTTAACTTACCATAAAGTACTTTGTGGAAGCTGTGGGCCTATTAGCAAACAAGGCTTTCCTGGGCAATATCACTCACCCAAGCCCCCTTGACCCAATCTGCCCACACACTCCAAGAGCCTTTCCTTGTTCTGGACCTTGAAGAAGTATCTGAGGGTTCTTTATACCTGGCCCCTCAGTAACCTAGGTTTTGGGATGAAAGAGAGAGTAAAAGATAGATAGAGAAAGTGCACGAATGAGACACAGAGACAGCAATAATCCAACAGAGATCACATGTATTGCATTTAAGTTTAGAGTGAAACCTTGGTAGAATGAAAAAACAAATTCCTATGGGAACTGGAAGAGTTCTACATTAAACTATTTAGCTAAATTTCAAAGAGCCTCTGGGGACTTCATGAAAATCTTCCATACAAAAAAGTAAACAAATATTTACCAAATGCCTACTATGTGCCAGAAAAATTAACTCATATAATGTTGAAAAGTACATCTTAGAGAAACAGAAACAGAGAAATTAATTTCCCAAGATCACAAAACTAGACAGTAGCAGAGCTAAGACTCACACCCGGCCTGTTTTACATCAAACCCCATGTACTTTCCACTCCACCATTGTGTCTCCAATAAAGAAAGTAAGCACCTGTTACATTCTGTTTAAGATCTATTCTTCAAACATGCTAACCTTCTAAGACTGTAATATAGAGGAAATATACTCTTAGTATAGTGTTCAGTCAGAGCAGAAAGACTAAAAATTTCTTCTTCATCGTGCTTTCTAGTCTTCTAACATGTAAAACATGTAAACTTAAGAATATTATAAATACTCTTCATTTAGTAAGAGAGGGAATCAACCCAGGAAAGTGAGTGACATGTGAGCTATACCCCTAAAGGAATGAGTAATCGTGGTTCCTTCGATAGCTGAGTTGGTAGAGCGGAGGACTGTAGGAATGAGTAATCAAGAGATATATACAGCACAAAACAATGTGGACTATGTCTATAACTGAGCAGCCTACATCTTAGGGGCTGTCCTAGAACCCTCAAATTTACAAGACAAGAGAACTAAAGACCTAGAGGACGCCTCTGGCTAGAGTAGTCAGGAATCTGGTATTACCATATACTGCCTAAACAACCACCCCACTCATTCATCCCACAGCTGCCTCTTCTGGATTTAACAAGGCCACCAAGACCCATGGCCCTCACTCACCTTAGCCTTTGAGAAGACAAGAAAGCACACGAAAGGCATATGAAGAGGAAGGACAGAGAAGAACGGTATCTCAGTAAACAGATCTATTAACATGCTTCCAATTTCCCAAACCAGTAAATTGTTCCTAATCCTTAGACTTACCTGAGGTGTGTAAGGTCCTGGTGTCATTGGGTCCAGGCTTTCTAACTCTGCTTCCTCCAAAGCTGCTTCTTTAGCTGTACAAATATCTTTCTCTAGTTGAGTCAAATGTTCATCATACTGAGAAATAAATAAAATTAATGAATTCATTCAATGGGTATTTTAGGTACTGGGCATGCAAAAGTAAATAAAACACACAAAACATTTCCGTCTTCGTGGTGTTTATATTCTAGTGGCATAATACAGATGATAGCCTAAACAAAGCAGAGAAAGAAATACTGAGTGTGGAATGAGGGTAGGAGGTAGGATGTTAATATTTTACAACTGGGTAGTCAGGGAAAGCTCCTCACTCAAGGGAATGACACAGGGAGCCAGATCTTTACCACCTACCTCGGTTAATGTCTGGTAACAGACATTCACAATCTCCTGAGCAGTCTTCGTATACTGACTTTCAGGCCCTATGAATGAAGTAAGATACCATTGTCATTGTGAACTTAATGAATTTTATATTTCTCTTCAACATGTAATTTAATATACACTTTGGAATTTAAAAATGAGAATTTTACATTTTGTTACCATTATTACCATTATTTTAGATTCAGAAAAACTATGCCTATTCCTTAGCTTAGAAATTCTACTCTAATTTTATAAGTAGAATTTTATTTCAAACATACAAAATCAGATATAATGAACTTCCATGTAAACCAATTAGCCAGCTCTGACAATTATCAACACATGGTTAATCTTGTTTCATTTATATTTCAATTTTCCACAACTATTTGGGTTTTTTTTAGCTTTATTTTTATTTTATGTGTACGAGTGTCTTGACTGCATGTATATAAGTGCACCAGGTACAGGCCTAGTGCCCACGGAGGCCAGAAGAGGTCATTGGATTCCTGGGACTGGAGTTGCAGATAGTTGTTAGCTGCCATGTGAGTGCTGGGAATCAAACTTGGGTCCTCCGCAAGAACAGAAGTGCCCTTAACCTTTGAGTCATCTCTCTAGCTCCACCTTTTCCTTTTTAAAAAAAGAATCTTGCTATGTATCCCAGACATGCCTCAAACTCACAATCCCCCTACTCAGCCTCCTGAGTCCTGGGATTATAGTCATACACCACTGTGTCTACCTTTACATAGCAAGCTCTAAACTACCGTGGGTTTCATAATGAGATCCTATCTCAAACAAGAATTCTTCTGTAAACTATAGTCACAGGGTGATATGGAATTGCCAATGTAGGCTCAACAATTAATAGAACTAGCATATCACCCCAGTGTAAGGATGTTAATAATGAGAACAGGGAGTATGCTGGAACCCTGTAACTTCCATTCAATTTTGCCATGAACCTACAACTACTCTAAAGACTATTTGAAAATTAGAACATATTTTTAAAACTAAACTGTATCACATCTAAAAATAATAATTCTTTAATATAATGAGTCAGTCAACATTCAGATTACCCTAACTATTCCATAAATGTTCTTTCATAGATTTCTTTGAATCAGAATTGAAACAAGATCCATATATTACATTTAGCTGATGTATCACCTCAAGACATTTTTACTTAGGAGGTGATTCTTTTTACTTATTTTTTATTTTATAAGTCTGAGTGTTTTGCCTGCATGTATGTAAGTGTACCTGTGCATGCAATGTCTACAGAGGTCAGAGAAGGGTGTAGGAGCTCCAGAAACTGGAGTTATGGATGGTTTTTAGCTGCCATGTGGGTGCTGGGAATGGAACCTGGGTCCTCTTCAAGAACAGCCAGTGCTCTTAACTGCTGAGCCATCTCCAGCCCTGATTGTTTTTAAACACAAAGTTTCACTATGTAACTTAGGCTGGCCTGGTACTCAGGATTCTATGATACCAGTAGTTCTAGACTAATAAGTGAGCCACTATACCTAATATATGATGATTCTTTTTTTATGAAGTCAAGTTGGAATATATTAAGGTTACAGTTTTTTTTTAATTTATTATTTTTATTTTATGTGTATGTATGTATTGCCTGCATGTAGGTAAGTGCATCTGTGTCGTGCAATGCCCGGGGAGGTCAGAAGAGGCTGTCGGATCCCCTGGGACTGGAGTTACGGACAGTTGTTAGCGGCCCCATGTGGGGGCTGGGATTCAAACCCAGGTCTTCTGCAAGAACCAGTGTTCTTAACTGAGCCATCTCTCCAGTCCCATGACAGTTGTTTTTAGAAAGGTCTTATGTATCCCAGGCTGGTCTTGAATTTGATATGTAGTTAAGGATGACCTTGAACTTTTGAACCTTCCTACCTTACCTCCTGAATACTGGGATTATAGGCCTGCACCACCATGCCCAGTTGATGTGATGCTGTCAACCAACCCCGGGCTTCATGCATGCTAGGTAAACAATCTTAACTTTAAAACTATTCAGTTTGCAATTCCCTAGTCTTTCTTACTTTCCACACTATGCTTTAAGATTTCACAGACATTTCATCATTTTCCCTTCTTGTATTCTACACTGATTTATCTGCTCTGTAGTATTTTGAATTGCTTTGACTCGCTAAAACCCGCTTCTCAATCAGTCTTGCTTTCTAATTTGCTTTAAAACCACAAAATAAGGAGCTGAAGAAATAGCTCAATGGTTAACAGCACTTGCTATTCTGTAGAGGACCCCAGTTCAGTTCCCTGCACCCACATGGCAGCGAACAACTGTCTCTAACACCAGTTCCAGGGAATCCAATGCCCTCTTCTGGCCTCTGGGGCATGTATGCATGTGGTATACTTGCATGCAGGGTTCAGATACATAAAATAAAAACAAATTTTTAAAAAAGCATGTACTAACACATGTGAGCTTTTCTTTGAAGCATGGTCTCCATCTCCCTATGTAACCCTAGGCTGTTCTGAATTCTCTATGTAGTCCAGGTTGGTCTTGAACTTGGACTTCTCCTGCGCCAGCCACCTCAGTGCTGGGATTACAGGTATGTACCACCATGGCACACTCAGATAAAGCCCCTAAAATATATATGGAAAGTCAAAATGAAAATTTGAAACAGAATAAGAAAAATCATTCTACCTGATGATAAGACTTCCTCTACAGTTAGAGTAATCAAGACAGCATACACAGGAACAGACACATAGATCAATTAACCCACACACTCAAATGACATGCAGTAAGTGCATATAAAGTAATTCAATGGGGAGAAGGTTGGTACTTTTAACAAATGATGCTGGAACAACCTGGACATCCATAGAATACTCCAACCTAAACTATACTGTACACAAAAATTTGTAATAGATCACAGATTTAAATGTAAAACTATAAATTTCTAAAGGAAAATAACTTAGTAACCTTGTTTTAAGCCATGACTTTTTAGAGACACCGCCAAAAGCACCTAAGTATTTCTAAACACTGATAAACTGGACTTAAAAATTAAACATTTCTGATACAGTTAAGGAGTCTGAGAAGGAAAGGTAGAGACCTGGAAGAAAATCTTTGCAAGTCATCTACTGAAAGTCTTATACCTAGAATATATAACAGAAACTTAGAATTAACTAATAAGAAGAAAACACAATTAAAACTAACCCAAAGAAATGAATGGACATTTCACCAAACAAAACAGAGCTGACAACATATAGTTTGACAAGCACATAAAATGATGCTCAATCTCATTAGCCATTATGGAAATGCAACAAAATAAGGTCATTATGAGAGAAAATAGCTAAACTTAAAAACAGTGTCTTACAAACTTAAACATACAACTCTCATGTATTTATCATAAAGAAATGGAAACATATTCATACACTGCATTTGAATGTTCATATTAGCTTTATTTATGATAGCAAAATATTGGAAACTTGCCTGTCTTTCAATGTGTGAATGGTTGAACAAATCCTAATATATCTATAAATGAAAGACTATTCAACAATTAAAAAATAAACTATACTTTTAACAATTTAGATGAATCTCAAGGGAATTATGCTTTTTAAAAGTCAATCTTTTTTTTAAGTCAGTATTTTATAATTACATATATTATTCCATTTATGTAACTTGTTCAAGTGTCAAAGTTATGGAAATGGGGAACAAACAAGAAGCACAGAACAGTGTTGGGTGCGTGGGTGGGTGGTACAACTACAAAGAAGCAGTTCTTTCCTGGGGATAGACTAGTTCTAAACCTTGATTGTGGTAGTGGTTACATAAACCTGTATATGACATAAAATTGCACAAAAGTATATATACAAACATGCACAAATGGGTTTTTTTTTTTTGGTCTTTTTTTGAGACAGGGTCTCCCTGTAGCCCCAGCTGACCTGGAACTCACTACGTAGACCAGGTTAGCCTCAAACTCACAGAGATCCACCTGCCTCTGCCTTCTGAGTGCTGGGATTAAAGGCATGCACCACCATGCCTGACATACACATAGTGAGTTCAAGGCCAGCCTGGTCTACATGGCAAGTTCCAGGCCAGCTGGGGCTACAGGGAGACCCTGTCTCAAAAAGGCTTAAAAAAAAAATCCTTGTAAAACTTTATGTCAAAGTGTTTATACCTCCACTCTAGCCAAACATATCCTAAGTTATAATCCACAATGTTGTGCTTTTTTGCTGTTTGTCTGGTTGGTTTGTTTTTTGAGACAGGGATTCATTATTATGGTTGGCTAGAAACTCTGATCCACCTACCTTCACCTGAGTGCTGGGATGAAAAGCATGTACCACCATGTCTAGGTTCTTTTTTTCCTGAACTCACTATGCAGACCAGGTTGGCCTTGAAGTCACGAGATCTACCTGCCTCTGCCTCCCATGATTAAAGGCAGAAACATACAATGGTGTCTTTATTGAAACTGATTACTTCTGTGGAGCTTCAATGCTAATATTTCATTTTTTTTAAATCACAGCATTGTATCTGGTCCAATTATGATGGTATCAATTCTGCTTCCTTTTTATCTCTATTCTATTATTCTACCTTTCCATTCTTACTGCTTCTTATCTGTTCAGGTCTTGAGGTTTTTGCTGTTTTTTAAAGCATGACTGTTGCCAAGAGTCTCCTTACTGGTCTCTGTATCTATTCAGTTCCTACTTTATTCTTGGGATAGCTTCCTGAATGGTACTACTAAAACTATATCCTTCTCTCCTGATGATTTAGTGTGACTCACTGGGCCTTTCACAATTTGGGTCTTTCTTGTCTTATCTTATTTTGTCATCAAACCTCTCACCCTATAGTCAAGCCAAACTTTTTTGTACTTCCCTATCCAAAGCACTTTCATGCACTTTCGAATTTGGCCACCATCTGGAATTTCTTCATCATCCTTCTCCACTTGATAATCTGCTCAGCAGGGCTGGAGAGATGGCTCAGCGGTTAAGAACACTGGTTGTTCTTGCAGAAGACCCGGGTTCGAATCCCAGCACCCACATGGCAGCTAACAATGGTCTGTAACTCCAGTCCCAGAGGATCCACAGCCTCTTCTGACCTCCGCAGGCACTGCACGACACGGGTACACTTACCTACATGCAGGCAATACATGCATACACATAAAATAAAAAAATAAATAAAATTTAAAAAGATCTGCTCAGCACAGAAGGTGCTCAGTAATTGGGCATTATAATAATCATCCTTCAAGATTCAGTTCAAAAATGATTTCCTGGGCTAGAGAGCTGGCTCAGCGGTTATGAGTACTGGCTGCTCTTGCAAAAGACCTGGGTTTGAATCCCAGCACCCATATGGTGGCTAACAACCACCTATAACTCCAGTTCAGGGGATCTGAGGCCTCCTTCTGTCCTCCAGGGGCACTGCATGCCAGGGGTGCACTTACATACATGCAGGCATAACACTCATACACATAAAATAAAAATAAATTAAAAAAAATTTTTTTGGTCTTTTTTGTAGCCCCAGGTGACCTGTAGACCAGGCTGGCCTCGAACTCAGAGATTCTATCAATTTATTAGGCAAAAAAATGTCCTAAAACCAGCACATTTATATGCCAGGTAGATAACATAACTGGGTGTGTTACCAGGTACCTGTACTATAGATTTTGTCTTTGTCTTGCATCTGGTTTTATAAAATTATCTCAATAAAATATTTAAAGCAAAAAAAAAAAAAAAAGATTTCCTGAGGCTAGAGAGACAACTCAGTAGTTAAGAGCACTTGCTGTTCTCACAGAGAACCCAAGTTCAGTTCTCAGTACCCACATCAGGTGGCTCACAACTGTCTGTAATTCCAGCTCCAATGGATCTGATTCTGTCTTCTGGTCTCCGTGGGCACCTATACTCATGTGCACAGATCTACACATAGGACACAAACATAATGAAAAAGTAAATATTACAGACAGTTGTTTGCCATAACGTGGTACTGGGAACCAAACCCAGTTCTTGCAAAAGCAGCCAGTGCTTTCAACTACTGAGCCCTCTCCAGCCCCAGGGACTTTTTAAATATATAAAGAAAAATAAAACTCTATCTTTGCCTGAGTTTTCCATTAAAAAAAAGCTGGATCTCCCTGCACCTAGTCCAGCTCCATATCCTGCTCCAGGGTACAAACCTACTCTGCCTAGCTTGTTAAACTTTCCCCATGCTGCTCCTCCTGATCGTCCTGCCTGAGACGTCCAGATTACCCTGGTTTCCAAGAAAGAGTTTAAAGATCACAAATATCTACCAATTGCCTCTCAGTTCTGCAAAATTCAAAGTCTTAAAACAAGAACACTTTGGTAATCCTTAAAATAATGCTCTTGTTTTTCATCTGGCCTTACTTCCAAGACCCCATGAAGGTCACCTCATGTGCCAAAGTGACAAGCTTGGTCTGAATAAAATTTCTTTGTTTAAAAAAAATTCCTGGACTGGGTATGGTGGTGCACAACTTTGACTCTAGCACTTGGAAGTCAGAGTCTGATGGATCTCTGTGAGTTAGAGGCCAGCCTGGTCTACATAGTGAGTTCCAGGCCAGCTGGCACTACAAGGAGACCCTGTCTCAAAAAGACGAAAACAAAACAAAACAAAAGTAAACTAAGTTACTCAATTAATTTAGCTATCACCGCTCAAAGCTACCTATGCCCTTAAAATTAATAATGATATTTAATGCTGGATGAATAGACTGATGAAAGAGGAAAAAAATAAAGAAATACCCACCATTGTACTTAACACTGTTGGCAAGAATAAGGTTTACATCATCTAGAAAGCTCTCTCGACTCTGGTACTTGTGCTTGGAGATATTCTATGATAAAAAGAATCAGGCACTCAGCTACACATACAAAATTACATCGATTATAAAAGGCCATTCTTAGATCAAATCACTTACCTTACGTATAGACTCCAAATCCATTGGATTGACAATCACTTTGTAATAATCCGGAACAAATTTCTTATTAACTGGATGATGAAATGGCCAAGACTAGTAAAAAGAAGACATGGGAAATCAAAGGGAAACCACTCTTTATACCAGAGAGTCTCAGTCTTCATTGAGTTACAAATATTCCTGATGAAGACTATGAATTCTTTACAGAGAAAAACACATAATCATACAAAATTTTGTATATCATTTAAGAATTTCATGGGTTCCATTAAGGGTTCTTATGCTCTGATAGGGTAAGAATCCCAACTCTACACTTAAAATCTCTTATTTATGAGTTTAAGCTTAAGCACTGCAAAAATAAAATTCCTTATTCCATAATTCCATCCAAAAGTTTTGTAGCATTATACATACAGAACATTATGACTACAATGCAAAAGAAAACTGAGTTAGGAATTGTTGAAGGGATCAATAAAATAAAATGGTTCACAGAATCAATACCATAGATAGCATTGCCACAAAAGTATGAGGAAAAGAAAGGAAGAAAACAAAAGGACAACAAATATATAATTATCAAAATGTTATTTATGGGCTGGTAAGATGGCTCAACAGATAAGGGTGCCTGCCACCAAGACTGATGATCTGAGTTCACATGGTAGAAGAGACCGAACTCCCACAAGCTGTCCTGATCACCACACAGAAACACAAATAAATATCATAAAAATATTTAATATATTATTTCTCTAGAGGCATTTCTAAATCAAGAACCTATCATTAGTTAACATCTTTCTTCTCCAGACCTATTCATGAGCTCTCAACTACTGAATGTCAACAATAGGAAGCAAGAACCTCTTTATATTTATTCAAAGATACCTGGCATCTTTGCTTTCAATGATACTATCTAATATTCATACAGCAAAAGGTTGCTATTTAAAATTGCATCCCAGTTTCTCGTGACACACAGCTGACACAGAATCTCTAACACATACACGCACACCTTGTATGTTTCTTTCCATCTGCCAGTACTGTCCTCACAATGTTTAGCACAAAGATTACTTACATCTGGAACTGCCATCATTTTTTGAGTGACAATGTTATCCAGAATAAAAGAAAATGCCACTTGGTCATCATCATCAAGCAAGGGGTTGATAGCTTTTTCTAAACGAGCCAATTTATCTTCTTTCTGAAATAAAGCAAAGCAAAAGGAAGGCAGGTTTTCCCAAGGTGTGATCGCAGAAATGCCACAGAGAATTTAAGAGTAAGCTAGCTGTCTATAACTTTAATCCCCAAAAGTTTACCTCTGAATTATCTACTGTTCAGTTTCAGGCCAAAAATCTAGATGACACTTTAGCTAAGTAGCAAGGAGATGGCCAGCAACGTCCTTAGGTATTCTACAGCCTATTTTTGTACAGCACCAAAAACAGAAGTCCTCGGCAGCACTAGCTTAGCTGCAGTCACACATCTTCAGCAAGTTAGGCTTCAATATTCTATCTTTTCTATAAAATGATTGCTGAGAACACTGAACACTGTCATTGACTAATGCCTCCTTTTGTTTTTCTGAGATAGAGTATTGCTATGTACCCCAGGCTGGACTCAAACTCCATATACAGCCCCAGTTTGATTAGTGACTTTAATTAAGTAAACTTAATTCCATAAATTGATTTCAAACCGTGTACTATGAAAAACTCTGAGCTCTCATTGTCCTACACTTTACCCTCAAGCTTTAGTCATCTTAGCCTATTTAATTTTAGCTTTTTCTGAGAAAAGCTCACCTAAATCCCAGGCTGGCCTAGAACAAGAAATGTAGCCATGGAGGACCTGTGATTTCTGATTCCCCTGCCTCTACCTGCCCCTATATGTGCCACTATGCCCAGTTTATGCCATACTGGATACTGAACCTAGGGCTTTTAGCCTTTCACTTTTTTTCTTGGTCTTTTTGAGACAGCCTCAGCTGTCTTGAACTCACTATGTAGACCATGCTGGCCTTGAACTCAGAGATCCACCTGCCTCTGCCTCCTGAGTGCTGGGATAAAAGGCATGAAATATGTAGCTCAGGCTGGCCTCAAACTTAACTTCTGTTCCTCCTACCTCTGACTCCCAAGTGCTGTGGTTATAGATATGCATGCACTACCATGCCCACCTAATTATGGTTTAAATGTGTAATTCCTGGTAACCAATCAAGTTAGAAAATGTTTTCATGTTTATTGGTCATTCACTTTTGTAAGTATCTCTGTCAATATTAACATCATCAGCATTACTTGTGCTTTGAAACTTAGGAGGTACCATAGTTGGCTTTGAGAAGAACATGGGTTCACAGAATGATTGAGGCTGTGGCTTAGTGGCAAGGCCCTGGGTTCAGTTTCCAGCACACAGGGGAAAAAAAGCCCAAAAGATGGGAAATAAAGACAGATTTTTTTTTGTCTTTTTGAGACAGGGTCTCCCTGTAGCCCCAGCTGTCCTGGACAGTATGTAGACCAGGCTGGCCTTGAAATCACAGAGATCTGCCTGCCTCTGCCTCCCGGGTGCTGGGACTAAAGGCGTGTGCCACCACGTGTGATAGAGTATCTTTTAAAATTAAACTATCTCTGGATCTGGTGGCTCACAGCTGTAATCCTAAAACTCAGGAGGCTGAGGCAGGAGGAACACTATAAACTCAAGGTCAACCTGGAAAACAGCAAGCTCCATGCCAGCCTGTCTCAAAAGAAAAGAAAAAATTAAAACTTCCTGGTACAACAATTACTACTTTCTAATCTACAAGATATCTCCTGGGAAGCCATTTTCCATTGCCCTTTCTAAAGTTACAAAGATTCTGGATCTTATTCCTAGCTTTACATTTAATAGTCATGATGTCCAAAGCAAGTCATTTTCCCCTGACTTAGCTTTCTCATCTACAAGACACTGGCCTATATAACTGCTGATTTTCTATCCCTTATGCATCAGACTTGCTATTCCCTTGTGCATTCTTCCTTCTGTTAAATCTACTTCCTAAACTCTGCAACTCCTCACCCTCATATACCACGCTCTCTCATTTATTTATTTAGATTTTCTGGAGACAGAATCTCATGTAGCTCAGGCTGCTCTCAATTTTATTAGCTGAGGATGACACTGAACACATGATCCTCCTGTCTCTACCTCCCAAGTGCTAGGATTACAGGTGTGTGTCACTATGCCTGGCTTCATTCTCTCATTTTTAATGTCTTACCTCTTTGAGTTTTTCATCACAGAGATCCAGCATGGACTGAGAAATCTGAGTCAGTGAGTGTTTGGGCCCTACAAAGGAGTAAGAGAAGGGGCCATTATAAATGGGAGCTAAAAGCTGCCAAAACCTTTCTAATCCTTTTATACATTGACTAAAGAATTTAAAATGTGCCAGGTACCAGCCTAGTAGCGGGGTTAGGTAGATATACTAGTCTTCCTTTTTTTTTTTAATTGTGTTTTAGGTCTCCCGAAGGAGTACACTGTTTCTGGAGGTGCTGCGGTACCAGGTTAATGTGTGCAGTGGACAGAGCAAGCTCCTACTCCATCTCCCAGCTCGAAAACCCATTTACTATATTGTCCTCAGACAAGGACATATCAGATTCTAAACTGCTAAGAATAGATGCTACACTTGACCTAGCCAAAAGGCCAAAGACTGATCCTTTTTTATTAAAGTCTCATGTATCTCAGGCTGACCTGGAACTCAGAGCTAAGAATGACCTTGAACTTTGATCCTCCCCACTCCAAGTCCCTGGGATTACAGGTGTGTGCCACCACATCAGGTCCAGATACCAGCAGTCTTAGCTCCATCTTTAAGTGCCTAACACATAATGGGAAAACAATTATGAATGAGTTTTAATGGTTCTTTATTTGTGTCCACACTCATTAGTATTACTGATGCTTTTAATACCTTGAAAACTATTCTTTGGATGGAGAACAGTTTGTTCAAGAATAAGTAAAGCTATCAATGACTACTTGTAATTTTTCTGCGTAGCAGACAGACTCTCTAGCATATATCAGACTATTACTTCAGTTTCCCTGAAATCTATACCAAGAGTTTCAGAAAATTCTTAACTATCGGACCTCTCCTATGCTTTTTTCTTAGAGCTGCCCCAATTTATGCTCATCTTTGGGATAATTAAAACATTTTCAAGCTGAGAGTGGTGGGTACATGCCTGTAATTCCAGCACTTAGAATGCTGCAATGAGAGAATTGAGAGACCCAGGCCATCCTAGACTACATACTGAGACCACCTCAAAAACAAACCAACTAACAAACGAAACGTTAATTAAAAAAAAAAAAAGGTTTTGGGAGCTGGAAAGGTGGCTCAGCAATTAAGAGCACTGGCTGCTCTTGCAAAGAACCCAGGTTTGGTTCCTAGCACCCACATGACAACTAACAACTGTTCTTGACTCCAGTTCCAGGGAATCTGACAACCTCTTCTGGTCTTTGAGGGCATTGCACACATAGGGTGCACTTACACACATGCAGGCAGAAAATTCACACACATAAAAATACATAATCACATGCCTTAAATCCTAGCACTTGGGACGCAGAGGCCAGTCTGGTGTCCATAGTGACTTCCAGGCCAGCTGAGGCTACAGGGAGACCCTGTCTCAAAAATCAAGTAAACAAACAAAAACAAAATAAAAATAAATGTTCATGCAACTAGCACTTTTTAAAAAATATTTTATTCATTATTTTTATTTTATGAGTGTATTGGCTGCATATAGATAGGTGTACCTGTGTTGTGCAATGCCCAAGGAGGTCAGAAGAGGGCTGGAGTTACAGATGGTTGCTAGCTGCTATATAGGTGTTAGGAACAGAACCCTGGTCCTCTGCAAGAGCAGCTAGTGTTCTTAACTGCTGAACCATTTCTCCAGCCCCCTAATTAGCACTTTTAACCACTTCTTTTATTCAGTATCTTTTACTAGATTATCTTCCTCCATCTATATTTTTAGTCTAGTGTGCCCCAGAGCCTTACACTCAGTCCTATTATTTATTTCAGTATTCATAATGTTATTCATTCAAATGTTTAATGCTTTGTCTAGGACATGTTCAATGATGGGAATATAAGGAAAAATAAAAATTGCTACTGTAGAGAATTCTTTGGATTAGTCAAAGAAAATGACTTGAAAATAAATTATTGCAAGACAGTGTACATCAAATAAGTATCTATGAATGAAATGATACACTTTTATCAGGAAATATGTATTAAATAAGACTCATCACAAACAGACAAACTGTTAAACTAGGTGAGTAGGTACACTAAATTTCCTCTTGCAAGCTTCATAATAAAGTTTTAAAAGACTATGAAATTTCATAATAAAGTTTTAAAAAACTATCAGTGTCAATAAAACATACTGGTTGCACACCAAATATATTCTACATTTTTGTACATCTAACCTACTTATTGGAAACTAGAAGTGATGGTGCAGTTTGTAATTCTAGCTACTTGGGAGACTGAGGTAGGGGATTACAAGTTGAAAGGCAGCCTTGGCTACAGGACAAGCTCAAGGCCAGCCTGGGCAACTTAGTGAGACCCTGTTTCAAAATAAAAAGTAAAAAGAGAGCCGGGTGTGGTGGCACACATCTGTAGTCCCAGCACTTGGGATGCAGAGGCAGGCGGATTTCTGTGAATTCAAGGCCAGCCTGGTCTACATAGTGAGTTCCAGGACAGCTGGGGCTACAGGGAGACCGTGTTTCAAAAAGACAGAAAAAAAAAAGTAAAAAGAGGGCTGGGTTGGGGATATAGCTAAGAGGCCAAGGGCTTGCCTAGCATGCTCTAAGGCCTAGGTTCAATCTTAGCACTGCTAAAAAAAGAAAAAAGGTCTGATTGGGGGAGTAGGTAAGGTTTGTTCTGACTCACATTAGGTAGTCATTAAAGAAAAGCAGGTAAATAATAGAGGAGGGCATTCAAGAGGGAGGAAAAGTACGGAGACACTGCAGTACATTTCATCATGGTCACAGGTAGTTTTGATACCACTGTAATACAGGGTGTGTGTGTGTGTGCGCGCACATACAGGAAAGACAGGAAATGAACTTGGAAAGTCAGGTGGGATCATATTAGAAAGATCTCATAGGCAACAGAAAGTTACTAAGTATTTTCAACTGGTGAATAATTTTTCTTTTCTTGATTTTTTTTGTGAGGGCACTGAACTCAGGCCCTCAACATATATTAGGCAAGTGCTCTACCACTGAGCTACACCCACCAGTCTAAGAGAGCAATTTGTCGAATTTGAGTTCTACAGGGAAAATGCCACCTTATCAACAACAGAAAGAATTAAAGGCAAGAGCAGATTTGGAAACTGCTGAAAGAAGCTAAACAAGAAATGACAAGGGCTTCAACTAACACAGTAGCAATGGAGACAAAAAGAAAAGGGACAAGTTTCAGGAAAAATGATGGTATACTTTATAGGACTTAGTGATGAGTGTGAGGAAGAGAGGCTGGAATTATAACTAAAATATCTAGGTTGTACAACTATACAGCCAGCAAAACTATTAATCTACATAGGCAATCAGCTAATGAGTTATCAGCAGGACAATGAGAAATGGTAGCATCAGTAGACATATGGCAGCTGAAATAGTAAGACTAGAGTAAGAGGTGGGAGAGATAGTTTAGTGGTGAAGAGCACATACTGCTCCTACAGAGGACCCGAGTTCAGTTCTCAGAGCCCATGTGGGCAACCTTCCAAAACCCTAGCTCTAGGGAATTTGTTGCCTCGGGCCTCCATGGGAACTGCACTCACATGTATATAGACACACAAATAAAAACTGAAAAATAAATCATGCTGGGCATGGTGGTGCACACCTTTAATACTGGCACTTGGGAGGCAGAGGGCTGTGAGATCAAGGCCAGCCTGGTCTAAGTAGGGAATTCCAAGCCAGTTGGGAGTACAGCGTGATTCTGTTTCAAAAAGCAAACAAAACAAAACAAAAATAGTCCTGTAGACTTAGGAATTTCTCTCCTATGTATATACCAAAGAGAAATGAAAGCAAATGCCTACACAAAAGTTTGAATATAAATGTACAGACCCACATACTTAAGTTTAAAAATGAACAAACTCAAAATGTTCATTAACTGATAGACCAGCAAATTGTGTTATTATCCATAAATTGTGTGGTGCTGAAAAAATCAAGTACTTACACATGCTGTAATACAGACATGTTAAAAATGAATACTTCATGTAGGTAAACTGTATGGTATATGAATTATATTCCAATAAAGCTGTCTGAATAAAAAGTATTTCTGGGCCAGGGTATAATAGTGCACACCTCCAATTCCAAAACTGGGGAAGTGGAGGCAAGGAAGATTAGGAGTTCAAGGTCATCCTCATCTACATTGTGAGTTTGAGGTCAGCCTAGGCTACATGAGATCCTGACTCAAAGCACAAAAACAAAAGAATTACAGCCAATGAATCCACAAATTAGGTTACTGTTAGTATATTTCAGCAGAAGGCCAAATCTAGTAGGTTTATATTAGAAATATGAGCAGCAGAAAAAAGGGCTGGCAACATGGCTCAGGAGGTAAAGGTGCTTGCTGCCCAGCCTAATGACCAGAGTTTGATCCCTGGAGGCTTGAACCTACAAGAACTAAAGCGCATGTGGATGTCAGAGGACAACTTTCAGGAGCTGGTTCTCTCCTCCCACCATATGGGTTCCAGAGACTGAACTCAGGCTGTCAGGCTTTGCAGCAAGCACATTCACCCACTAAGCCATCTCAATGGCCCTTGGAGAAATTTTTTAAATTATCAGTTGTTTACTAAGATCTCTACTTCAATGACACACAGGTACCATGTTCAGTATCTTCAATGTCAATTCTTACCTTCTTATCCCTCTAATTTTTGTTGAAGTAATTATCTTTGGTTTGTTTGGAGACAGAGCCTCATGCAGCTCAGGGTAGCTTCAATCTCTAGGTATTTTGTTTGCTATTTTTTGAAAATATTCTATTTTATGTGTATGAGTGTATTGCCTGTATGTGTTTAAGTGCACCCGTGTCATGCAATGCCAACAGAGGTCAGAAGAGGGTGTCAAATTCCCCTGGGACTGGAGTTACAGATGGTTGTTAGCTGCCATGTGGGTGCTGGGAATCGAACCTGAGTCCCTGAGACCTCAGAGCAGCAAGTGCTCTTTGCTGAGCCATATCTCCAGTCCCTTGTTTACTATTTTCAAAATCAACTCTTACCTTCTATCACCTTTATAATCTTTTTTTTTTTTTGGTCTTTTTGAGACAGGGTCTACCTGTACCCGCAGCTGGCCTGGATTTACTATGTAGACCAGGCTGGCCTTGAAATCACAGAGATCCGCCTGCCTCTGCCACCCAAGTGCTGAGATTAAAGGCATGCGCCCCCACACCCGGCTATAATCTTTTTCTAAAAAATGATTTAGGAATCTTTCCTGAGTGGGTCCCATGGTGCCCACTGCACCTTGACTCCTCCAGCCTCATCCACCTTCCCAGCTCCCCCGCCCCATATCTCCTCCTAGCCTGGGTACTAGCCCATTTCTTGTCTTGGCACCCCAGACACCTGGGCTGACCTCTTGGCCCAGAGTCCCACTGCTTCCTGATCCTTTGCATCCAGACCAACCCAGTTCTTCCGTGTGGTCCCCAGGAGCCTTCTGTGCCTGGTCCCACCCCTACCTCCCATTGCTTCCCTAGGCTG